CAGAGAGTGGTCAATCCCCGCCATGAATCTTGTGAATTCATGGATCTGGATGGGCTTCCTCAAAGAGTCCGACATAAAGTGGCAGAAGCTATTCCGTAGTGGTAGCAATTTGCTACACACTACAAAGAGATGCAACAACGTTTCAGGCTGTTTTAAGCAATACCGACACTTAGTATCAAACTCCTGTGTGCTCCGTTGTGACAGGAGGAGTCGAGTTGGTAGGGCAGAATGAATCAGGAGAAAAAGGAATTCCTTCTCCCCCTGATTCAAACTCGACTTCCAGAGATTCTGGAACACACAGGAGAACTTGATGTGTGGGTATTGCTTATGTGCAGTTAAGGTATAATTAAGTTGTTTATGAAGATGGAGGTAAATTGTTTTGGAGTTTACCTCCTGGCGCCAGTTGATAACAGTACGGGTTTTCCTATAATTTTGGGTAAGAGTATCAAATTTAGGTGGTGCCTGAAACGTTGTGACGGAATAACTTCTGTCAGTGTCGAGCTCTCTAAGGGTGAGACCCATCCAGAAATATAGCAGGGATTTCCAAGGGTATCTGCTCCCCCCTATGAACCATTTTACTTGTTGGAGGTCGAAGGATTGGAGCTTGAGATCAATATCACAAACTCCAAGCCCTCCCTCGTCGAGCGGAAGTTGTAGGGTGTTTCGGGCTATCCACTCAATTTTTCCATCCCAGATGAAGGAGTAGATAGCCCGATTCAGCTCTTTAAGAATATGTTTGTTGGGTTTGATTATTCTGCCCACATACCAGACCTGAGATAAAATGTATGTATGTAAGACTTTGATTTTGTCTCTGTATTTCAGTGATCGATTTTTCCATTTGTTAAGGGTGTTGCGAATCCTATTTAGAATAGGATTCCAGTTAGTGTCGTGGCTATTGTGTCCGAAATGAATGCCGAGAATTTTGATATTATTTTTGATATACATTTTATCCGTATCTGGTACGTGGGCAGACATCGCCCCCGTTGTAAAGATTTCTGTTTTAGCTTTATTTATTTTTGATCCCGAGGCCTTCTCAAAGTTACTCAACTCGTAATCTAGGTTTGGGAAGGACCCGGGATCGGTGATAATGACGGACAAATCGTCTGCATGCTGAAAGGTTTTTACCTGTCGGTGGTAATTCGGTATATCTATACCCTTGATATACCGATTGTTGGAGATATTAAGGGCCAAAGGGTGTATCGCGAGTGCGTATAGAGCCATCGATAGAGGGCAGCCTTGTTTCACACCTCTTTCAAGGGTAAAGCAATTCGTGAAGGCTCCACGCACTTCGCAGTACACTCTTAGGTCCTTATAAAGAATGGAGATCCACTTGATTATACAATTAGTTCGACACTCGTACTGTGAACAACTAATTAGCTCTCTCTCTAGTCTGGATTGGTGAAATTGGATTAGCGGATTACTGTCAAGTATTAATTAAGTATAACTCAATTAACTCTTGACACCTGCCACTAATTTGTGAGTTCGTTCCTTTTTATTCTTTTCTTTTATCTTTTCTTTGGGCGGCCGACAATTTCTTTGGCGGAAGAAATTCAAGCTGTCCTACAAAGCTTTCACTAGGTTTCGTTTTGTTTCGTTGTTCTCTTTTCATTTTCATACTATCAATTTTTGCACAGTCTGCAAGGCATTCTTGATAGCTATCTCTTATCTGTCTTATTGTATTGTATTTTATATTTTATACTTGCACTAATCAAACCTTCAATTTCAGCTAAAATGGCCTCCCAACAATCCACCAAAGTTAGCTATGCCGATGTTGCGAGTCGGCCAGCTGCTACCATGCAACCCAGGGTAGCAAGGCCGGAGTTCTCCAACATTGTAATAGTGAAGCCAAGCGGGGGCAAAACTTTCGGCAGCACGAAGTCGAAGGTCATCGGCGACTTCATCCGGAAAGAGTGGAAGTATAGCTCTCTTCCGGAGGTCAAAGTCCTGGCCAACGGCAACGTGCGGCTGAACTTTGAGTTCCTGGCAGATGCGGTTTATGCTGCCAACCAAACCGCACTGTGTGGGATGAAGGTGGACTCGGCCATGTCCACCTTCAACAAGACGGAACGGATCGTCATTTATGGCGTCCCCTCCGAGTACTCAGAGGGTGAATTGCTGGAGGATCTTAAGCTCCACAATCACGCTGTAGAGGGTTTATACCTCTACAAACCTCGGGAGGGCAAGTCCGTAAGGACTGTCCAATTAACATTTGCAAGCGGGAAAGTAC